AAACCTGTCGGCACTCGGCTTCTTTACACCACACCAACATGCTGCGGGTCGGGTGGATTGGTAGACTGTGTTAGGCCCAAGTGGGTGAATCCGGATTGGAAATATCTCTTTATGAATAAAAGCATTTAAGTATGGAGATTTCCAATGTATGGTTGTAGAAACTGTGAGGTGGGCGTATGGAAATGTTCCCGATGTATGGTTGTAAAAACTGTGAGGTGGGCGTGAGGACCAATTCTGTGAAAAAGAAATCTGAACTCCAAGTGGATTGAGTAAAGTTTCTACAATTATCCATTTACTTCAACCCAACAAACAAGATAAAAGGTTTAATACTGAACAACCCCTAAACCGGGAATCAGAAAAATTATCCATTTTTTTTTTAAGCTGTGTGGCTTTATGTGCTATGATGGGTTCGGATCGATTTGTGAACAACCAATCCTAACCCGAGAAATAAACCGATCGAGTTGGTTCTTGTTGACAACTCTATGTTGAAGTTGTAAAGTATTGAACATGGAGAAGCAGATTAAAGGGTGGTTGTAAGTCAAGCTAAAAGTAGTCAGCAATAAAGTATAATGGACGGCTATGATCATTTTATCAGGATAGTTTTGACCTTCGAATCTCTTTTTTGGGTTATCTCATCACAAGGCAGATCACCATTCTCCGCATATTCTGCCCTACATGGTATATTCCAGTGTTGTGTCCAACATGAAATTTCCTGAGTTTCAGCCCTTAGTAAGTAATGGGCCCCCATGTTTCCCTCTTTTCTTAAATGAGAGTCTTGAGAAGCGTATGTGCAAGAATGTAACTACGTCACCAGAAGATCAGGACTCAAATGTGTTGGGACAGCTTTGATTTGTGGATATTGGGTCGGATTGGGTTGAGAATTTGTTAAACTTTTAATAGGCCCAAGCCCTAATCTGAGCACAACATGGTGGAGAATTTCATACAGAATTGATAATGGTTGTTATGTATGGTATTTGATACTGTGGCTCCAAAAATCATGGTATATGTTCTGGGCCAGTGAGCCCCACTGTGGTTAGTTTTAAATGGTAGGTTTTGAAACGCACCACACAACACCACATATTCTATATTGTGATTGTGTGGTGTGTTTCAAAGATTTAAGACTTGAAATACATGTATTTTTATTAAAAATATTTTAAATCAATGTTTTATGAGTGTTCTAAGGTATAATGGGTTTTGGAACACTAGATTTTGATGTACACCAAATTTCACAGTATATTCAGTTCCAAAACCTAGCATAACTCAGCTCAGAGCATGTCACAACAAAAAAAACACATTTTCTCTCTATGATGGGCCTGAAACCAAGGGAAACGAGCCACAAACACATAATTAAGCCTTATATTTTCCTTTTTGGGTTCAATTTAGAAGGAGTATAAATGTAAATTCGTAGAGTGCAAAACTTATATTTTGTATATTCTGTATGTATCTATATTTGTACTCTTTCCAAACTAAGCCTTAATTAAAACATTTTTAGTGTGACTTAACTTGGTTATCGTGCAAAAGCTCAAGCCAACCCAAACCGGCCTGATTGGGTTCATTTATGAGATAAAGAGTTGTAGGGATGGAAATCTTGACTCCAACCTCTTTGACCCACCCACCTTGTAACCCACCCATTCTATTGGTGGGTCAATATGGGTTCAGTGACCTATTATGGTCAAGGGAAAAGGGTCAGGGTTAGTTGGGTAAATGAAGGGTTGAAACTCGGGAAAAAAGGGTTAGGAGTCTCAAAGTTTGAAGCTCGGTTGAATCTGTTCGGCCAATCTACTGGTCAGGGGGAGGTATTCCGCCATCACACTCTGAAGTTCGATTTTCACCTCTTCTGCCATGGTAGAAAGGTGGAAGGTTTTCCACTATTGGAGTGATGAATGGAAGGTTCAACATTAAATTTACAGTACATTTGGTTTTGAACTAGATCTGTGTTCATCGATTTCCCCATCAATCAAAAAGGGAGAGAGGGTGGTATTTGTTCGATTTCTTTCTAATACTTTGTTCGAACAAAGTCTTGTTTTCTTTCAAGTTTCTTTCTGGTTTTCTTTAAATTTCTATTTGCTTTATCAAGACTTTCGATTTCTTTCTGGTTTTCTTTAAATTTCTATTTGCTTTATCAAGACTTTTGATTTCTTTCTGGTTTTCTTTAAATTTCTTACATTTTCCTACATTGTTTTTAAATTTCTATCAATTTCAAAAAAAAAATGATAAAAAATTCTATCAAAAAAAATTTCCTACATTTCTATTTTTTGTTTTCTTATATTAAAAAAATCAATTTCTGTAATTTCCTACAATTTTTCTATGTTTAGTTTTCTTGTACTTTTGTTATTTATTTGCAATTTTTTGCTTGACTATAATTTTTGTTGTTTTCCTGCAATTTATATTTTTCATTTTTTTCATTTCCTGTAATTTTTGTATTTTCTTTGCATTTTAATGTTTTCTATAATTTGCAATGATTCATAAGTTATGTTGTCTTTTTTTTTGCAATTTATACATTTATTATATTTTTGTTATATATTTGAATTTTTGTTTTATCTGTAATTTTTATAATTTCTTCAATTTTTGTGTAATTTCTATTTTCATTTTTTATATTTTATAAATTTCTGCATTTTTATAAATTTTACATTTTTTCTGAAAGTTTGTATTCTTTTTTACAATTTTTTGTTTTTATGTGAAATGATAATTTCATTTAATTATTTATTATTTTTTCCTATAACTTTTGATATTTTACATAAAATATATTTATCATTTTCAGTGTTTTTGAGCATTTTTATTTTGATTTGAAAAATAATTTTTGAACCTTTTATCATTTTTATGTTTTCTTTATATATAGTTGTATATATAACCTAGGTGAGGGTGGGTCATATAGATGGGTCGTCATATGGGTGGGTCAGGGTGGGCCAAATGGGATAGAGGGTCAATGTGGGCGGATTGATACTCAACCCTCACCCAACGCAACCCAATCCACCCATTTGCCACCCCTAAAGAGTTGCCACCCGGCCCACCCCTATGCCCTAGTAACCTCACCTATGGGTTATGGCCCTTCCATGAAAAAAGGATAAAGGATCAACTGAAAGCATATCCCATATTCTAGAGGAAGTAAATGTTACAACGAAGCTAGTTCTTATAAATTAATATTTCTTTTCAATTCTTTGCTTCTTTGCACTTTGCAGTGATTTGATTTCCACCTCCCTTTCAATCATAGTTGCTACCAATATTTTACAACAATCACAGGGTTTCACTTAGATTCTCAAGAATAATCCCCCGAATCCATTCCACCATGACAGTACACTAATGGTGGAGGACTCAGAAAGTCAGATCACTTAGCGCTTGTCCTGCTCTCTGTCTCCTGCATCTTGGTTTTTGACTTTAATGGGTGCCTCTCTCTCCCTAAAAAAGAAAAAAATTAAATGCCCTAAAATGCACATGAGAATATGAGATTCTTAGGCTAGGTTTATCAACATTTTTAGCAGAAAACAAAAATCTGTTTATCCCCATTCTCAACATTTGTTTGGCATCAGCACAAATGCACGCAAGAACAAATTAGAAAGAGTGAATGGGATTTTGCTTTACTTTGCTTTAAGTTATATTTTACTTCATTTACGATGTAGACAGATAACATGAAGTAAAGTTTAAAACAGAAATAATTAAAGTAGAATTTGCATTCAACCCATTTACACTACCATACTTTTGCACCGTTAATGCAAATGAAATTGCAATACAAAGAAACAAGACAAGGACAATAAAGGAAAAACAACAAGAATATATATATATATATATATATATATATATATAAATCTAACAACCTCAACTCTCATGGAATGAATGAAATTTGGCTTCTAGACGTGGTATTAGTTATTTTGCTACACAACTGATCAGATGCCATTGTATCATCAGCTACTGGTATAATTGGCAATTGTAAAAAATAGAGATATCAAAAAGCATGAATCATAACGTATATTTGTGGGGTATGGAGTTAGATATCAACGTCTTCTGATGACAAAGTTTTTCTTTGCATTGTTATCAAATATTACCAATCCCACGAAAATTACTAACTAAAGCTGATCAGTTATTTCTTCTAGCCAAGTGATAATATGAAGAAGTAAATAAATGAAATGTAGCGGGTCAAGTTGATTTGGGTTAGGTCTGACGGGTCGGGTCAAAATCCCCCCCCCGCCCTGCTTAAAATGGATAATTTAGTATGTGCTATTTAAACAGGAGAAAGCTTTGTGGTCTAACCAATATTGATTTGAAGGCAAATGAATTGCTGGACATTCTGGAAAGAGGAAAAAAAAGCTTAATAAATTTAAGTGTGTGGAAAATGGGCCCGGTACTGGGTCCGCTTCCAAGATAAAGCGCACAAGAACTATTGCACACATACACATTCTCCATGGTTTCCTGTTGGTTACGTCATTCATCAAACATGAATTTCTTACCGGAGGAGATTTACGAAACAACCCTCATACGAATAAATAAAATTGATCATCTTGAATGGTTCAGTTACCAAATTATCCCTTTAAATCAACCCGATAATTCATGTCTATACACATAAATTTCCTTAAGGCTATGTTTGATTTGAAGATAAGGAAAGACAGGAAAATGCAAGATTTGTAAACGTTTTCCTATCTTTTTCTTCCTTTTCCCTATATTTTCCTTCAAACCAAACATAACCTTGAGAGTAAAGAGAGTGTTTGTTTATTTCCTTTGGATGGGAATGGGACCCGATCTAGTAGGCGTAAACACGCTTTTATTCTAACAAACATCAAAAGTGGGTATTTTAGTAATTTAGCTTTTATAGTAAGCTTGCTTAGATCCTAGGGTCATATTTGAAAATTTAGCTTTTATAATTAAAAGGTATTTTAGTAATTTGAGCAAAAGTAACCCATTTGGTCGGAACTCGGAAACCAGGCACTATGCAATTCCAGTTGCCTCGCCTGGTCTCTCCTCTATAAGTATTAGCTACACATCATCAATTTCATTTCGTTGCACTTTGCAAAGCTACGAACAAAGAGCTAAGATGAGGCCTGTGAGTGCAACTACACATGCTCCAGCTACCGTTGCCACCGGTTTCCGGCGATGGAATTCTCCGATGCCCTACCTCTTTGCCGGCATAGCGGCCATGTTGGGCCTCATAGCATTGGCATTGCTTGTCTTGGTTTGCACCCACCGAAAGTCTTCAGACAACTCGTCCCAACAAACTGAGGAAAAACCAGCGAACCCCATCAGCTCACCGCCCGACACTGAGCCGAAGGTTGTTGTCGTCATGCCGGGAGAATACAAGCCGACGTTCATTGCCAAGCCCGTTTGTTCAACAAACGCTAGCGAACAAGTTTAAGTTCCTTCCGCTTACTGGCCTCGAACAAGGGGGCCTTCAGAAGATGATGAGGATTTTGTTTTTTTCAGAGATGCAAAATTTTAGTAGCTCTTCTTCTTCTTCTTCTTTTATCTTTATTTTTTCATTTCTTTTCTTTTCTTTCGTTCCTTCTTTCAAGCTTTTGCAGCTTCTGTTAGAGCTTTCCGGGAATATGTAAATAATGAATATCGTCATGATCTATAATCTTTCTTTATATGAAAATAAGCTCTGGTAACGACTGTTTATGTGTTTTCTTCCCCTGTTTTCTGGGGATCAATCGTCAGTATAATGAAAGCCTCTGATCTATACTTTATCAGCCAGTATAAAGAATGTAATGTATCGGGCTCTGTCTTACAGTATTTTCTCACTCAACTGTCTCAAGCGGGATGAAGCCATCATGGCCTCATTTTGGCACTTCCTATTCCTTTACTGCAACTCTCTCTCTCTCTCTCTCTCTCCAGACCGTCAAATTGATTATTAGGAAAAGGAAAACTCAGAGAAGTTAATTAAAGCAAGGTAATATGAGATCCACGAGGATACTAAACTGAGGACATGATGACATAAACAAAAGAAATTAAACAAACCTTGTGGAACACTTGCAACCAGACATTTGGGTCCATAACCCATTATGGATGTTTGATATTTATTTCCCTTGAAACATCCTCCAAAGGTAAGAAGAAGCTCATACTTATTCACTATTTTGCATTGGGAAAACCCAGAACTCAGAAGTTTGGTTGGTTTAGTAGTAGCCTCCCTTAAACCGCATTTTGCCCACAGATTTGGCATCAATCCACAGGATTCATCCCACCAGTATGGTGAGATTAAGAATTCTGAGGTGGGCTGAACAGTCATTCTCCCATTTTTTTTATGGAGTCAACCTTAGGATTTCCAAAAAAATATAAAAAATGGAGCCCAATACACCATAAGAAAAAATTGGATTGCCCTTTAATGGGTGGATCCACCATCTGTAGGTAGGGCTGTAAACGGCAGGGTTGGATTCGGATGAATCCGATCCAAAATATTACCAGATTTCGGGATATCAGATTGGATTTTAATTTAATCTGATTTTGCTTCAGTTTTTTTAATAAAGAAAGAAATTTAAGAAAAAATAAAATATTAAGAACTTTTAATTTGTATATAATAAATTAATATAAATATGAAATGTTGAATTTATTATATATAAATTATATATTTTTGGGTTTGATTATGATAACAGAAAAACAAAATATGTGAAAAACTTACAGTCAATCAACTGGTATCATAAAAGAGGTGAACAATCACATGGTATTCATCAAAACTCATGGAGTGCTTTGATTGGTCAAAACTCTTCGAATACCTTTTATATTTATATATAATTATATATATATATATATATAAAAAAGAAATAAAATAAAAAAAAGTAAAAAAACACACTCGGATTTGAATCGGATCCTATGGGATGAAATCCACATCGAATGCAAGTGCACTAAAAAACTTGTTTCAATTCTCATAAGTTCCATGTGCACCCAAGTCTAATTTCAGCCCAAACCATCGATATCTATCATAATTGATTGTAAAACTAAAAGAAAAGTTTAGACCCTAGTTCCATGTACGTAACCTTTGCACTGTTAATGCTGCCCCGGGCACACCACAAAGGCAAACAATACACAGAAAAGTGAAATGTGATGTATTAGTTGATACATTTTATACATAGCATTAATTTATTATATAGTGGGAGTAGCTCCCCATGTTTGACAAATTAAAGAAGGAATGGGAACAGTGTTCCAATGTGGATTAGGTAAGTGGGCGCGGCGGCTTGGGGACGCAGAAGAGGTGTTTGATGAATTTACCCTGATCCAAAAGCTGAAATGTGGAAAAGCAACAATGTTTCATAATTCATATGCTGGAAAGTAAAAGAAAAGGTGTGGTTTTTATTAGGAACTTGGTCCCAAGGAAGTGGAACTCCACATCATCTTCTCCAGTGGAAGACCCATATAGTTATCAATATCCACATTTTTCTTGTTCATCTTCTTAGTGGAGTTTGATGGAATTTGACCCCAAATACCTCTCTCTCTCTCCCCTCTTAATGTGTCAAAAGAAGTAGATTACTTTCCTATTCATAATTTATTAAGGGGGGTTACAGTCAAAACAGCATACATTCTTCAAACAAAACTTTTTACCCATGAAAATGCTTTCAATACAAGTCGACTCTGGAATTGTGGTTTTTGCCCGGCCACTTCTTAAATGCCTTTTAAGACATCCAGTGACCTTTTTTCTGAAGATTGTTATTTTATTGAGGAGGGTTCCATTAAACATCAAGTGTTTTTCCATCAATTTCTGAATGTCTTTTATCCTTATTTTAACTTAATACACCATTATCCATTCAAATTTCGAACAACATGATTCTAGGAGGCTAAATTTGAATCAAAGTGATAACACAGTAGAGTAAAAAAAAAATAGAATCGTTGTTCTTATATTATAAATTGGTAAGAAGGTACCTACTTGCTCAATTGACAAAGTCTCTAGCTGCTTGTGGCTGTGGAGACTTGAGATCAAATCCTTGGGCTGTAACTTGGGTTGAGCATTTCTTAAAATTTCAATGGGCCTTGGCCCTGAGGACTGGGCCTGATGCTTGTGTAAATTCTTCAAGTCAGGTACACTCCAAAGTCCAACTTTCGCCTCTACCAAATTATGCTCTCACCAGGTTGGGGTGGGGATTGTGGGCATTAAGGACTAGCCCATGAAAATAAAAAGAAAAAAAAAGTGCAAAATTTCAAATGGTATCCATTTAGGTCTAGACCCTTTGAAAGAAATTCCATCTTCTTCTTCTTTTCCGTTATTTCTTTGGGTCCTCCTTCTGAAACCAGGCAAAGGCACCCAGAACATTCAGTTAAGCTGGTTCAGTTCCTTTTGAGGCACTCCAGATAAGCTATTTAAAGAGGCTAACATGGACAGCCCAATAAATAATTGATTGATAGCCGAATAGCCTGTTTGGTCTCTCTTGATTTTTCACCAAATATAGGACTATAGGTCATCCACCTCAAAAAGCAAGAACCAGAAGCTTTAATTTGGATTGGTCCAATCCAATCCAGTCTATTATGAATTCATTACAGATGGATCAGGTTCAATTCAACCTGATGAATGCTTTGAATCATTCTTGCTGGTTTAATTTCATGTCTGGACCGTCCAATCTGTTCAAATTAGCTTTAATTTAGATTGGGCCAAACCCAAACCTGGTCTACTGACACCCATACTCTTTTCTTCTGTCTATGGACCCGATATTGGATTCAGTGCAATACAATAAATGCTCTAGACCATTAAGTCTGGACTAATCCAATTTAATATGTCTTGTTGGTCTGTCCAATCCATTTAAATTGATTGTACTTCGAAGGATCCAACCCAAACCCGGTCCATTGACACCCCTACATCCATGCTGGTTTTGGGAAGTTATTAATCAGCACAATTATTGGTAAAAATAAATAAAGAAATGAGGTGCATAACAAAGTATACAAGGTGTTAATGATCGTGTTGTGCTTTGTAGAGAAAGATTAGCACCAAGATGACCATGTAGTCCCTGTAAAGAAGGCTTAATAACCGTATTCTCAAAATACTGTCCAACCTAAAAGCTTAAGCAGTTAGATGAGATCCCCGATTAGGTTTTTATTCTTTAATATGCCCCCTTACCCAAAAAATCCCATCAGGCTTGAAGCATGGATAAGGACAGGTCCACCCATACCTTGTGCTAAATTTAATTACTTTTAATGGGACAACAACAATCAAACACCATACCACTTGGTCAAACAAGCACTTATACCTTTTCAAAGAACTGTTCAATATAAAAGCTTAAAATTCCTGAATGGTTTTTTATTCTCTAACACTTACTTATCTGTCCTCTTAAATATATTTGTTTGCACTACAAATCTCTGCTAGATACAAATTCTGCACCCAACTCAAATTCATATACCTTTGATTGTAACTATATGATTTACACTCCTAACTGATACAAACACCACCTTTTTAAATTCTATTTTGATATAAACTGGAAACCGTATCGTTTTACTTCATCTTTTACTCCTAAGACTGTGTTTGGTTGCAATGTAAATAAATTTGCATTAAGACATGAAGTAGAATAAAGTAAAACCCAAAACCAAATTAAATGAGAGTTTGTATTTTTTTTCATTTGCGCTCCCATGCAATTATACTAGTGCAAATAAAATTACACTGCAACTAAATACAGCCTAAGGCTTAGTTTAAAAGGAATACGAATATAAATATTGTAGGTATATACCGCTTACTCAGACCCTTAAAGAACACTCAGACATCAAGATTAACACCATAGAAGCATATGTGAGCATCTTGCAATTGACCCCCATGTCGCAATGAACTTATGACACACTGTCACCTCTGCGATGAACTTGCAATACACGAAGCAAAACCACGATAAACCCACGGTCCACCAAACTCAGTCAACACCAGTCCAAAGGACCCAAGCCCACCTGAGCGTGCGATGAAGCTACACCCGCTACAACGTGTGATGAAACTACGCCTGCTACACTCTTGACGATGGGTTAGAAGGGACATTAGGCCGAACCCATGGCGAGGCCCGCGTGTGCCCAGACGCACACAGACCCACGACAGCAAATAACCCTACGAGCCACCACGTGGAATCGATGAAGCACCAACCGCTGAATGTTGACGTCACCGTTGCTACATAGGATTAGTTATAACGCGCAAAAAGGGTAGTAGCACACGTTTGTAATGAAGGATCTCAAAGATAAAAAAGCCAGTCCTTGAAAAAATCCTCATGAGACACGTGGTGATACCCCAATAGCGCATCCAATAATTGATAGCGAATCAAATATTCCCTTCCCTAATACGGAGCAAATATCCTCATCTCCTACCTTTTAAGATTTCGGGATCCCCTCCATAAATAGGGATCCTCCTCGTATCAGAAATCATCCGATCCCAAACAATCTGTTACCTAGTACCTCCAAGATACACCCATTTCCAGCATCTTCAACCCAAAGATCTTCACTTCCCTGTTCATAAGACCCTTCTCTATCTTTCAAAGAGACCATTCCTCACCCCAGCCTTACCTTGCCTACAAATATATAAAGTGCAAAGCCCTATAATTTGAGACGTTACCCATCTCAATTATCTAGGGTCTTGATAGGGGTAGACTGAATGTGATTCTAACTTCTGACCTTTTTTTTTTTTTGCACAAAGTGATCGCTCTCAAACACTATCTAAACATATAACCGACCATGCATATATTGATTAACTATCCATCCATATCCATATATGACTAGAAGAAAAAACAACAATACGG